CATGAATAATTGTGGGGAAATTTTTTGTCAATATGGCAATGCGAATTTGTCTTTAATGTATCTAGTGTAACCTAGTTGTTGTACAGATGGGTCATTTTCGTACCATGTGTATCCTATTTGATGTTCAATGTGGTACATAAAAAATACGATCCTAAACGGACAATTTCACAAATGTTTCTTCGTTTTTAATCAATTACTGAAATAAATTGCAAACTTCTTCCAAAAATTCACAGAACTATTTTCTCTCATTTTTAAGAATAATATAAACGGACTTTTTTTAAAGTCAATAAAATAGGTGTTTTTTTTAATGTTATTTTGAAGACATATCGGAATTTGGTAAGAAATTTTTAGGAACATTCAAGGTTACGAAAAATTAATCCTTTGTCATTTCAGTTGGTTTCTGTTCCCATATTTCGCATTCGCTTCCGTAAATAAATGAATTTCATAAATGCTGTCGTTGTTTGAACACATTTCTCTATGTCTCGTGTTAAAAATCTCCAGGATATAATTATATCGAAATAGGTTTTGGATATATGAAAATAAATAAATATAGGTTTTGGATATATGAAAATAAACAAAAAGCGAGAATACATAAAACGCTTGTTTGACTGACTTAAGTCATGGGTTGGCTTCTTCGGAAAAGTACAAAGGAGCGTAGGGCCAAAATCGAACTAAGTCAACCTAAAACTCCTTTGTTTCTGTTCGAAAAAGCCAGTCGAAAAAGCTTTTTATGTTTCATACATAGAAATTTTTTCATAGACAAAAATTCTATTTTTGAACTTCCCTCTCTCCAACAACACATACACATAAACACTTATGAGGATAAAATTCTCTCCTTCATTCACCTGGTTATAAAACTACCCAATTTCCGAAAAGTTTGCCGAAGACTTTTATTTCGTCCAATTGGGCGCCGCAAATGATCGGCTGTTGGTCGTCGAAAGGGCTCCCCTGTTGGTGGTGGTGATGATGGCATTTCACTGGCAGTTATACTGGTGTTATTATTTTCACCACTGGCAACATGGCCATCGTTGGCGGTGCCATGTTCCGGATCAACGTCTGGCATTTTGGGCGATGTTTAAAAAAATAATCTGTGGCAGAACTCGATCCAGAGGATTTTTATTCAACTTTTTTTGTACCCTTCCAAATGTATTTTTATTCACTCTTCATTCTTTTATTTTATTTTAGTCGAAATTCTTTTCTTTTTACAATATCCGATTCCGTTATTTTACTTTGCAACGCTACGCTTTAAAATTGAGCCAGCGTTTAACTGTAAAATATTGAATTCTAGGGGGTTTTAAATGTTTATGATAATTAAATGAAAAAAAAAAATAAATAAATTGAAAAACCGCATTCAATTTTTTCCACTCTGTGAATAGTTCCAACCAAGAATAGACCAGATCGAGCGGAGCCACATTTAGAGCGCATGATACATTTTAAAGCTACAATGGACGTATGTATGCATATACGTCACTTCGATCGCATGCAAGATTCACATTTGATATAGCTGTGGTCTACACCATTTTCAAATAAAATTCGCTAATGTCTCAATGGAAAATGGCAATATTTCTTTGTTTGTAATTCGAAAAATGTATTTAAATATAAATTCCATAATAAGTAAAAGCATGTTAAGATTTACGAAATTCACTCGATTTCAAATGTCAACGGCTCCATTACGTATACGTAACGTAAATTGTATTCATAAATCCAGATGATATTATTTGACGTATACGCTATGGAATTGACGTTTGAGATCGAGTACATTTCGTAAATTTACACGTACTTTAAATTATATACATCCCAATCAAAAATATCCAAGCAAAAAAATTTGTTCTCGAAAGACCATTGCTCCAATCACGAAAAATTGAGGAGAAATAATTTGAGAATGTGGCAACGATAGTGGAACTTTTTCGTATCTTGTGTAACCTATTTGTTTGTGCAAATTGTTATTTATCAAAATAAGGAATTTAAGGTGCAATTACATAAAAAGCTTTAAGTCATGGCTAGGCATATTAATGTCAAATTATAATGGAAAACGACGGCAGGACTTTAGTGCGACTCTGTAATCCCTTTATGAAATGTCACAAAATATGCCTAGCCATAACTTCAAGCTACTTATCTACTTACACTCTTAGACCAACAATTCTTCAATATTAGGATTAGAATATACAAATGTGTTAGGACCTATGCTTAAACGTGGATCGATAATGCCAAATTTCTTGTGCGAAATTAAATGGGCAAAATACCGCAGAGCAACATTCGGGCAGCGGGTGGAGATTTCATTGGCCGTTTGATGGCCATAATTCGTGTCAAAGGTGACGAGCAAATCTAAACTTATTCTATAATTTGGTGCTATTTCCGACATTTTTGCTTTCATTCAATAAAATTTAAAAAAAAAAATGTAAAAATTATGGCGTTTGACTTTGTTGAAGTTTTGTTATCTCACCCTGTAGACACAATATCATGGTTCAATGGAACTCCATTTCAAATAATAATAATAATAGTAATAATAATCTCCACTTCTAAATTTTCTAGAATCTACCTTTGCCCATTCATAAAATTGTTCTCTATTTCTTCTCCACTATACAAATTTAATTCGAGAGATCATCCCTCCAAAAATAATTGAGGAGACACAATTTACGAATATGGCAACGCTAAGGGGTCTTTTTCGTACCTTGTGTATCGTATTTTTTGTGAGAAATTAAAATGATTCTGTTTTATATAGGAACAAGTAAAAAAGCTGTAAGTTCGGCCGGGCCGAACTTTTAATACCCTCCACCATTTGGTACAAATTTGGCAATTTCCAAAAAATAAAACCCGTTAAAAATTCTGTTAACATCTTAAAAATACCGAATGTTTATACGACGACGTGGGCCTGCATAGGCAACTTTTGTCATAAATTATTACAATATTTAAATGAGAAACTTCAAGAAAAATCTGTTTATAAAGTAGCTAAAATCATCAAAATACCGAATATGGGGGGTACCGTTATATGGGGGCTATACGAAGACGTGGACCTGCACAGACAATTTTCTGGCATGGGCTGAAGTATCCATTACGAACTTCACATGCGAAATTTAAACCATTCCTGTAAATAATGTCGCTGAAATCATCAAAATACCGAATATCGGGGGGTACCGTTATATGGGGGCTATATGAAGACGTGGACCTACATTGCTCATTTTTTGACTTTGGATGTAGTATCCATTACGAACTTCAAATACCAAATTTGAAACGATTCCGGTAAACAATGTCGCTAAAATTATCAAAATACCGAATATCGGGGGGTACCTTTATATGGGGGTTACACGATGACGTGGACCTGCACAGATAATTTTCTGTCTTAGGCTGTAGTATCCATTACGAACTTCAAATGCCAAATTTAAAATAATTCTGGTGAATAATGTCGCTAAAATCATCAAAATACCGAATATCGGGAGGTACCGTTATACTGGGAAAATATACATTTGTGCAAAGTTTTAGCCTTCTATCTCAATTTGTTCGAAAGATAGCGTGATTACAACAGACAGACAGACAGACAGACAGACAGACAGACGGACAGACAGACACACAGACAGACAGACGGACATGGCTAAATCGTCTTAGAATTTTACGCTGATCAAGAATATATATACTTTGTTGGGTCTGACATGAGTATTTCGAGGAGTTACAAACGGAATGACAAAATTAATATACCCTCCATAGTATGGTGGAGGGTATAAAAAAGCAATTGAAACCAACTTATTTTCAATATCAGGATTCGAATATATGTTTGGGACCTATGCCCAAAATTCAATCATGAAATAATCATAAAGGTAACTTTATTTTAAATAATAATAATATCCAGCTCTGTATTATCTATAATATACCTCTAGCAATCCACAAAATTGTTCTCTATTTCTTCTCGACACGGGAAACTATTTCAATCTTAAGGTGAGAATACATAGAAAGCCCTTTCTTCCTGGCTTAAGCCATCGGCTGGCTTCTTTGGCAAGGAACAAAGGAGATGTGGGCCAAAATCGAACTAAGACAACCTAAACCTGCTTTTCCTACCACAAAGCCAGCCGACGACTTAAGCAAATCAAAAAAGCGATTCTATGTATTCTTACCTCTAACTGTAAAATGAAAAACTTTTTAGAAACTCTTTAAAATAGGTTGCTTTCTATAGTGTATCTATGCAGTAGATACTTGCTTCTATCTTTTTTTCCACATGTTACAATTAATTCATGAAAACCTCCTTTTAAACAATAATAATATCCAGCTCCGTATTTACGGTCCATAAAATTGTTTCATGCTTCCTTTCGGCTATTAAATTAATTTCATCTTTAACTCGTTTATAAAGCAATAAATCTTTAGGCACGCCTTTAAAAAAGGGTTCCCTTCTTTGGAGTATCTTTAAAATAGACGCCTTGCGTCTGACATTTTTTCACTCTGTCTTTTTTAATATTTCTTTAAGTCCTTAAATTTAAAATGAATTCCCAGCTTTCTATTCAATTAAGGATTAGAATTCAGGCTAGGATTGTATGCAGAGGCAGCCTGAAAATGCTTTTACATTCCTTACGCCTAAATAAAGGATATATTTTTTAAGATCTCTAATAAGATAGCACTTATAATCTGTTCGTCCATTCAGCACCCCCATAATTTCTTCGAAACACCTTTAAACAATATTTTATTTTTAGTTTGGCCATAAAGAATCCCTCCGTTTGTCTTAAAGTGAGAATACATAAAACGCTTTTTTGACTGGCTTATGTCATTGGCAGTGTTCTTCCTAGAGAAACAAAGGAGTTATCGGTTGACTTAGTTATATTTTGGCCTTAAGCCACTTTGTTCTTTTCCGAAGAAGCCAGCCAATGACATTAGTCAGACAAAAAAGCCTGTAATGTATTCTCACCTTTATTTTTCGTCTTTCTTTCTATTTTCTATTTTACGCAGTCACATTTCTTCAAATATTTCCACACATCCTTTTTGTTCCTTAACATAAATTTCCCTTCTCCAATACTTACTGTGTCAACTGGGCCAAACTGAATTTCCGATCATCGGCCGATTGTTTGGACCTCAGAAAACTGCCAAATCCTCGAAAGGATATGCTTGAACTTTTACGCGGGGCATTGTGCTGTTGGTAGTGGCCACCACCGGCCGGTGGTGGGGCCGAGCCATTGGCATTATTCACACTATTATCACTGGTCACATTTTCACTAATTGTGGTGATGTTGGTGGGTTCAAAATCGCCCACACCGGGGCCCCCACCGTTCACTTTGGAGATTTGAAAACGATCGGTCATTTTTTCAAAGGCGGATGGATCCTTGTCAAATCAAATCTCACAATTTTCTTTTCAAACTATTTATTCAATTGGCTATTTTAAATTTATTTTGTTAAAATAAATTTTCCAATTTTTGCATTTTCTTATATTTTCACACTCCGTTTTTAGTCCTGCGAATTTGATGAATTTCCGTTTCCGTTTTGTTAGAACACATTCGCTCGATCAGCTGCCGTTTGCAAAATAACGTTAACGTTTAACTGCAAAATGATTGATGTTGGTGGCTTTTATCGTTTTATTTTGGCTTATAAATGAAATGAAACACACGCACGCACACACACACTAACACATGGGTAGATGGATGGACACAGCGGTATGGTTAATATCGACTCTCCTGTTTCAAGTGGAGAGCTCTCACCAATGAAAATCCTCTGTTAGTTTTCTTTTTGTTGTTATTACAATTAAAGTTCTCAAATATACCGTAATTTGTGTATGATAAACTAAGAGAGAGGGAGAGAGTGAGGCATTTGCACAATCAATGGGAGAGTGAATCAATTATCAATCAAAGAGGGGCCGTTATTCATGAAACAAATTCTACTTTTCTCTCTTCATATTGGCTCTAATTGGAAAACAAAGAATACACAGTAGCGGACAACAACAACAAAGGATAACAGCAAATACATTCAAACCTATGCAAAACTATGAAGAGTGCTAAAATTTAACACGTTTGATTCGACTTGTTTTTGTGATTCTGTCAACAAGTAAAATTAACACCTTTCTGCTCTGTTATTGTTGTCTCCAACAACCAATCAAAACAAAATGACATGAAATGGCAAAGTGGAAGCAAGGCATTTGGAAATTTGCCGTCATTTTCGTCAAAGACGGGGGCTGTCGGTTTGGGGAACCACATATCGATCATTATTATCTCCTTTTGATCATAATTGTATTATGCCATCGATTATGAAATTGATAGGTAGTTTTTATTTGTTTTTATTTTTCCCAGCCGATAAGTTCGTGTAAACTTGTAAGAGTGGCTGTTCTCTTACCATACTCCGTCGAAAAATTTTGCGTCTTTTCCATTTTGAAGTTGACTTTTTATCAATAGCATGTAAACACAATGGGGATATTTGTGATAAATGACAAGTGACCCATCCAAAATATAACAGTTGAAGATAAGTCTGGGCGAATAAACAGCACTTAAATCGACTGCATATGTAGGTACATGTGTAAATGTCATTAGGGATCCAGACAACACCATTTCCAGTGGGAAAAATTAGGAAAGGGGGCATTAGTAGAGAAGTAGAAGCTTCATGAAGTCTCTTCTATAGACAGAAGGTTCAAAGGGAGATCAAGTGAAAAGTTGAAAAATAAAGAAAATCAGTACCAGCAAATTTTGCGGCATACCATCAGAAAATCAGTTAAATTTTGCTGCGATGAAACCAGAGCTTTGGCGTCGGAATTTGGCAAATGTTGCTCCTTGTATTGTTTCCTTCTTAAAGAGAGAGTACATAAAATGACTGGCTTAAGTCAACGACTGGCTTTGTAAAAAAAGGATTCTAGGTTGACTTAGTTCGATTTTGACCCAACGCTCCTTTGTTCTTTTACGAAAATGCCTGTCGGAATCTTTGGGTGGAAATACATAAATCGCATATTTGGCTGGCTTAAGTCATCGGCTGGCTTCTTCGTAGATGAAGAAATGTGTTTTAGGTTGACTTAGTTCGATTTTGGCCCTAGTCTCCTTTGTTCATTTCCGAAGAAGCCAGCCGATGACTTAAGCCAGCCAGATAGGCGCTTTATGTAGAGCCTTTACGTTATCTGTGGAATATTACAAGTAATATATTTAAATATTAGAAGGAATACAATCTTCCCATGTAGTAAGCTTTCCCTTCTTGTCCGTTTGTGCACTAATGTACCGGTGAGAATACATAAAACGCTTTTTTTGACTGGCTTAAGTCGTCGGCTGGCATCTTCGGAAAAGAACAAAGGAGCGTAGGGCCAATCCGAACTAAGTAAACCTAAAATCATTTGTCAGCCGATGACTTAAGCCAGTCACTTAATATACTCACTCCTTGAGAAGGAAACAATACTAGGAGTAAAATTTGCCAGACTCCAAGAGCCTGGTTTAATCGCAGCAAAATTCAACTGATTTTCTTATGGTATGCCGAAAGATGGCTGGTTCTGATTTTCTTTATTTTAAATAGATTTTCAACTTTTCACTCGAACTAAGTAAACCTAAAACTACTTTGTTCCTTTAAGAAGAAGCCAGCCGATGACTTAAACCAGTCAAAAAATGGTTTCATGTATTCTCACCTTAAGGCTCCCAGAGGAGTCGGTCTTTTTTGTGACGCGTCACCTTTTAGAACAGCGACAATATCAACAAAATGCAAGTAATACCAAGTTTGTTTCTGAAAATCTCATTCGGTTGTTGTTTAAACGCTTGATACGAATCTTAGCGGACATATTCTGCTTGGGCCTTAAACCCCTTAACCGCATGAATCCATTAAAAGACAACTTGGAATCAACTACACTGCTTGACGCAATTCAATACTTTAATTACATTTAAAAATAATTAAAATATTTAATTATTCTTTAAATCATAATGTGATAATTATTGAATATTTGCAGTTATTTGGATGTATTAAATTTCATATTATCGCATTATAAAAACGAAATGCTAATGTGTTTTTTTAAAAATATCATAACATTTCTGAGGTTGCTATGACATGCATTTCTTCAACAATTTTTACAATTTTTTACAAATTTAAATAATTTTTCATACAATATTTTCAATTTCGAAATTGGTTTTACAGTTCACTGTCGCAGCAGCTGTGTCGATGCAACTACCCATGGTACAATGAAGAGAAGGTAGGCCAACTTTGAAAAAATTGCAAGTATAGAGGTCTACCTGTTTGGCTTATAATGTCAGAATTAGTATCAAAACAATAAAAAATCAAACAACTAGTTGCATTTATTTTGAATAAATAATTGAAAACCGCGATAACTGAATGAAAGATCAACACTTCTTTTCAAAACCATGTTCTATATATCTCTAAAGGATTATTTCGCCACAAAAACTCTAAATTTTGTCGATGCTTACGATGAAATAAACATTTTAAAAACACCCGAATTTGAATATTTTCTAAACAATTTTTTTGTTATTGAAAAGAAAACACACACATAAACAAATAAAGATGACATATTAAGCCAAGAAAATAAAAAAAATTAAAATCATATGGTATCATAGCCCTACCTTGATATCATTGTACCATGCAACTACCTGTATTCTTCTACCAAGGAAATGCAAGTAAATAACATATGTACTTTTTCGATCACAGCGAGCCCTATTTTCATCGAAAAAAATATAATTTAATCAAAAGTGTTGTTTGTTGTGTAAAAATATATAAAATTACAGTTGCGATAAAAAATACATCCATACAGTATTATAATTATACCCTCAACCATATAGCTAGAGGGGGTATATATCATTTGACCAAATTCGTTTCAGGACATTTATAGTCGATCTAGCGATGTCCGTCCGTCTGTCTGGTGCGCACGATAACTTTTGATGGGAGTATCCGATTTGATCCAAACTCGGTACTTCGTAATATTATTGTCATACTTAGGTCGAGTTCGGAGATGGGCAATATCTCTCACTCTTTCTGGTACCTCCCTCACAAAATGTCAACATTTTCAAAGAAAATAATTTACTGCACAGAAATAGAAAAAATAATACGAAATTGCTCCAACTTTGCAAATCATAATATTTCTATCAGTGCAACCTCCTCCAACAAGTACCTGCCGCACAAAGGGTAAACATTTTGATTAAAGATCTGCTATAAAAATGGTGGAGATCAGACCATTCCTTCAGGTCCCTTCCCCCCAAAGGGTCAAAGTCTTAAATAACCAAAACGATTAAAAAATACAAAATATGCATTCGGTTCTATTCATATTTCACACATTTCATTATTTCTACGAACACAACATCTGTTGTGAAGGTGGGATATACCGGTCCTCTCCTTCTGGTACCTCTCCCATAAAGGCTCAACATTTTGAATATCCATGAAGCTCATAAAATGCGAAATTAACATCCGATTCCATTCAGATTTGGTACATCTCAATATTTCCATCTACACAAGATCTGTTATAAAGATGGTAGGGATCGGACCATTTCTTCTGGTACCCCACCCACAAAGGGTCACAATTTTCAATACTTCTATCAGTCTTAACTTTCAAAACAAGTCAACGATTCTTTACAACTTGCTATATCTAAATATTTCTCTCAACCAGAATCCTCAGATGAATATGTATTTTAGGATTTGGGATAAAATTGGATATAAATATTCGATTTTCTTGTAATTTTACATTCAAATAGTATTCGGTAGTTAGATTGAGTCAAAAAATTATCACATTTTTCTTCAAATGAGACCGAACGTTTACTTATTGTGCCATGTCATCGATAAGCCTAATATCGACACTAGAAATCCCTACTATCTCTCTTTTATCGCATTTACACGCAAGTCGATTAAAAATTAAGTATTTAAATCAATAAAACATCCAAAGAGGAAAAATTCTACTTTTTTCGTTTCGTAATGTTTAGTGTGTCCTTTTTGCATTATTAATTGCCTATTTTTGTCAGGTAATGACGAAAACGGTTAGGGAATCCCATTACATATTTATTTTACAAAGAGAAGACTTTGGGGGAAAATGTATTACTCCATTGAGTCATTGAACCATTTATTCTCGCAAAATATATTTAAAAATATTCACAACAACCATAATAACATATATTAATAGCCTGCTACCTTTTTGTAACCGTTTCTGTTTGTTTTTGCCTGCGTTTTTTTTTTCAATTAATTAATTAAGTCAGTCAACAACAGAGCCCGAGATGACGTTACAGTCCACACTCTCATTCGACATTTCCTCACTCATTGATATTGGCAGCACGTGCGACTGACTTTTGTCGGTCGCTAAGGGAAGGTCAGAGACGTAATAAACTGGCTTAAATGTTTGCCAAAATTAAACGTTATTTGCACTGCCCTGATCGAGGGTTATTCGCCGTATAATTAATGGGATCTACGTCGGTGATCTTTTCCATCGACAAAACGAAACAACAACTTTCTTTGATGTTTACATACTTTAGGCTAAATGAGTTCCACAACATGGTCATTTTTGGTCAAAACAAACATCAAGCCAGAATGATGGATGTGGATGCCCATAACAACACAACAACCCCATTCTTAGATGGCTATGAATAAAAACGTCTGCTTCTCGTTTAGGAGGT